TTATGGTCTTTATTAGTTCAAATAAAGGTAATTCTGAGTTTGAGTGCACGTGATTCGTGGGTGGGGAGGTATAAGCACCAGGAGGAAGGGGGCGTGGTCCATGTGAAACAGTCCTGCCACCACAGCTGGAAAAAAATCCTAGAGGAAACACTATATTTAACATAAAACTTTTGTAACAACACAAATGTCTTTACCTTTTGCAATTTAATTGCAACCTTGCTGAAAAGTACTAATTTTTCAAAACAAACAAATTCTTACGGTCCCCAAACTTTTGAACAGTTGTCCATTTCTAAAGGGCTCGGGCTAACAAAATGTGTTGCCTCCCTCAATGTGCTGGTTTATCTGCCATCTGTCCAAATAAAATCCATTTACCTTGGCATTAGACTATTATTCCATGTAATTTATACAGGGTCCATTCATTTTAACGTGTAGATGAGCATTTATGCCACAGTATCCCAAAAGGTTAAGCATTAGCCAAACATTTTACCCCAAGTACACATTTCACAACAAATGGGATGCAAATTACAAAACAATAAACTTAAACTTTCTCTAGCTTCCAGAAGAGCACCGGTTCATAAGACTCTTGGAATCTGACAATATTCCATGACATCAGCCATGTGGAGAACCTGCTGTTTTCAATTTTGCGTTCCCTTTGGCAAGTTACAGAACATTTGCTATGAAATGCCACATGAACATCCTACACACGCTTCATTTAGCACCCACGGCTTCCTTTACATATTACCATTCCATCTTCTAGAGGTTAAATAGATGTAGCAAGAGACACCACACTGCTTTTTCAAAGATTACATGTCCTGCTTCAGAATGTCAACAATTGAAAAGAGGAAGTTTCTCTGCTGAGCAGGCACTGTGGTCATTTATATTTTTGTTCCACAGCTGCAGCAGCAGCAGCACAGTAGCTGGAAGGCCATTGTTCCAGAGAGAAGTACATGTAACACAACATCACATAACAAATAAAACAGCTTATAAGAACACAGCTCAAACGACCATGAATCAAAGCTAATGTCCGGTATTTCTTGATGAGGGCTGAAACACTGATACAGAGCTATCCCAGATCTGTCCCAGCATAAACCCCCTTTTATTCTTATGTAACACTCTACACTGAAGGCAGGACAAATAACTAAAAGCCAAAGTTTGCTTCCCTCAATTCAGATTCCTAGTATCAAACACTTGAAGTGTTCACTAATAAACATCATTGATGCTCTAACATAATTTAAGAGAACATACAATGTCCAGCTGCAAAAGTTAGATTTAGAGATTTGCGGTAGAATCCACTCTTTAAAGTCTGTTCCCCCTCCACTGTTCAGATTGCACGATATTATTTCTATTAATCAGTCACATATACTGTTGCAGCAGAAATAGCTACTATATTTTTTCCATTAAGGGGCAACTCAAGAGATAAGAATATTATAATACTTTTTTACTCCATTTTTTTGTAATAAGATTACAATGAAGCAAATTTTTTTTTTTTAAAGAATATGGCTTGCAATAAGTTAAGCCTTTTATTTTCTCATTGGTTGAAGCACACTATGTATCACTCATTCTACAAAACTACGCTGTGATAATAAAACTTGCTTGAAAACAGTGTTACGAAAGACGTCACAAGATCAGCTCAAATCACATTGCTAACTGCTTATAATTAACACCCAATTACAGCAAGCTCCAATTTGGCTACAGTCTGAGATTCTGTGACAGCAAAATCAGAGCAATAATCATGCAAGGAGGTTATGGCCTAAAATGGTATTTTGCTATTGCAACTGGAGTTTAACCTGAACATAGATAAGACACTGATTATTTGATAGCTGTATGAGCACTGAGTACACAGTTTGTTTAGCAATATGCTGCTTTAACTAAAAGAGGGCGCTGATACTTGCCTTTACTGCATATTCTTTATTGGTGATCAGATTGATGCAGGTGTGAACAACCGCATAAGCCCCTTCTCCAAGAATCTCATTTTGTAGTTTGTAAACATCTATAAATTAAAGAAAAAATATATATATTTACCCTCCTTAGACAGCGAAGCTATACTCCAGGCTTGAGCATTTAAAAAAGACAAACAAAAAGGGCTTGCCTTCAAAACGTCCGGAGAAACTGTCAGTGGCTCTGCATCTTTTTTTCTTCTTATTTCTCTTCTTGGCATCAGGGATATTGATGGGCCGGCTAGATGGCATGTCTTAAAAAAAACAAAACAAAGTTAAAGTGCACAATGTGTGCCAAGTCTATCACTCTAATCTGCTATGAACTTTGCATAACAAAGCTTGAGAGATAAGCAATATCTCCTCAATAAGTATTTCATCAGGGTTTACTTCAACCTCAAAGACTGATAATAACAGTCAATATTAATGAAAAAGTAGGCAAAATAGCAGTACCAGGCTTTGTCGAGCGGTTTAACTTGAAGGACAAGTCAAGATGGGGTTCCGAATCTATGAATTCATCAGTCTTGAAAGGATTTAGCCCCTGGGAATAGGAAACAAGTGTCACAAATTAAAGTCTACCATTTCACACTCACCCAGGGCATAAAACACTTTCTGGTAAATCAGAAGTAGTTACTAACCTTGAAGGAGCGATGGAATCCTGTGACCTCCGTGATTTTGTTTTGCACCATGTTTTCAAATCGTCAGATAATGATGTGCAGCTTGGTGCCTTAATCACAGTTCAGTGGCTCCTTTCAATCAAATACTGATCACCTCTGACCTGATCACCTCAAGGTGGTCGTGCAACAGATGACTCCTGCTTACACAGAGAGAGAAATATCATCAGTATGACCCTGAACAGATGCTCTTCCAGCAAGATCATCTAAAGTCTCAAAGAGACTAAGAGAAGAGGAAAACTCGTGTAACTTACAGACTTGGTATTTTCCACATTGTAATAGTCAACAAAGTCAGGAAATTTAACATAAAACAAACAAATGAATTAACTTGCTATTAAAATAGAGAAATATATCAACTGAGAAATCTTATGCAAGCAGTTAAAAATCTGTTTAATCTTAGTTTACAAACTGTCAATAGCTATTTTTAATCTGGATGACCGAGTAATAAACCATCTCTGGACTGCATGCGGTTTCAGTCAGAATGACCGCGGGGGTTTTCTTTAAAAAGAGTACTAGGAATCATTTAAAAGGTAGTGGAAAGGGATTCATCTTACCCCGTTACTAGCCGTGAGGCACCAGCGTTCACGCTGTTGCTCCAACCCACCGTTTAACAGGTTGCTACTCTGTGTTTGTCAATTGTAAACGAAAGTCGATAGCACAACGCATATATAAGGTCGTATCTCGCACTCCGCCCACTCTACATTCCACATCCAATCAAAATAATTGCAATGAGAGTCAGGCTTAAAAACTAAGAACGCTATTGGACTTTTTGATAACAGGGGCGGGGCATCCAGTTCCTAACGTTATCTATTCAGAATCAAAACTGGACAGGCGCTTTAGTTACACCGGACTTGTTTATTTTCCTATCTACTGGACAGTGGAAAAATTAGTACAGTTTTAAAATGAACACACTTCAGGAAATATATATATATATATATATATATATATAATTCTTGCCTCACGTGAAGCTACAAACCTGGTCTGGCAAAGACTGATATTTGACGGCCAAAACTTCATATAATATTCTAGTGTTTATTTTTCAGGAACTATTGGAAAGGAAAATATTGAAAGGTGCAATATCACAACCCAAAACATAGAAGCGTGTATTCATGTTTAATATTTCCTGCATAATTACAGCCAGAGTAACTGGTTTTTCCGGTAACAATAAAGGTGTTATTGTTGACTGTCATATAAATATGTGCATAGGTTGATGTACTGTAAATATTGTTGGGAACAGCTATTTTAGGGGTTTCAAACTCTGTTCAAGTCAACAATTAAATATCTAAGTATCTAATCTTAATCGTTCAGAGTTTTCTTTTTCTTTTTAGTATTTGTTGTAGTAGGATTATTTGAATATAACTTAATTGCATGTTTAGAACCACTGGTCTGTAGTGAGCAGGAGGATATGTGGCTCACTGCAGCCATCTACTGTTCATTTCGGTCAATAAAAAATGCAGAAGTTTAGTGTTACTTTGTTCATTTGTTGTTATTATTTCCTATAAAATTCCAGACCAAATGCATAAGATAAGCATGAATTACTTTAGTTAAAGTAGTACCCATATTGTGTATACAGCATTCGAGCCAACTCACGCATTCTCAGTCTCATTCTATGCTACATATATTCCATTCAGAACTTGCATACAGTTTTGGTTTTCGTGTTGCTAAGAGGACCGACGGCCACATACCCTGTACACGCAGCAAAGTTTTGGGAGTGACATATAAATCCCTCATCACTCATAAACGTGGGATTCACTTTTGAAATTGCGAAAATTTACGACAGTGATAACCGTAGCATTGAATAGCAGAAAAATATAATTGATCAAAACAGATATGCAATGAATAAGCAATATAAATGCAAACTAAACGATTAATAGAAAAGTATTTTAATTTTCGTATCAAAACATTTTTTACATAATTTTATGATAAAACAGAACCAGTCATCATGTCGTTAACTACTACGCATGTCCAAACGTCAGACAAAACTCTGCTAACAGTTTATTTATTTATTTATCAACTCAAACCCAACCAAAACTCCCACCCAAGCCAAGTAGCCGCCGTGTTAATTCTCACTCCAAGTTAAACACAAACGTTGGCAGACCTGAATTAGAAATATAGCTGAGTTCAATTTCAGTTTAATAAAATAATACAATTAACTTTGATCACAAGGTTAAACAACATCAAAGCTCAATAGATGTACAGGACTTGGAAAGCAACTGTAATTGTACTTCTCATTTATGTGCCAAAATGATCAAAAATTAAAATCTGTTACAAAAATAAACTCTGTTGTAAAACAAAAGATTTCCAAATCAGCAACTGTGAGCTGCGTGCAATTTTGAATAATGTAACCCTCTTAAAAGTGGCCATCAATCAAAGACGAACTGGAAAACGGGAACGTGTGTTCTCGCGATATTTACTGATGAACGTAACGCACGTAGACAGGGTGGAAATACAATGTAGCTAGATAACCGCTTTCATTTGAATTCATTTCTGTTTTTGAAAAGAAGCTTTAAAAACGTTGAGAAATCCAGTCAAAGTAAGTGCCATAGTAACTGCACTATAAAGAATTGCTCTTGAACACAAGTATTCTAAGCAGATAATGTGATGGTTTGTTGTTGTTTGGCTAGCTCGTGCGTCTGCTCGATTGATTGTTTACGTTGGTGAGATGTTCTGTTAGTTTGGATCAGCTGATTGCTTATTGTTTAATGCTCAATGGATTGCTTATTGTTCTTATTGTTTATTGATCAAGTGCATGCTATTCTACTATTTGCTTTTAAATCGAATGTGTTGTTCCTCTTGCGCACCCAAATTAGAATTTACTACGTGCCATTCACTGAAAGTGTGCATGAGCATTACTGAACTATATCATATTTTATCACATTTATCTAGTCTAAATTAGGACAATTGTTATCCTAGAGTGCAGGTCTGGCTGAAGCAGGAACCATCCCACTACCTCAGCTATAAGCAGTCACCATGGAGGGTATGCCATTATCAGTGCTATGCTTTAATTAGCTGTTTCAATGTCCATGCAAATTAAAGCCCAGCATAAGCAGAACTTGTATGCAATGTTCCACTAGGCTGTCAAATGTCCTGCTCGTTTTATGGGTGCAAGAGGACCTACAATAGTCTCTAAGCAGATAATGTGATGGTTTGTTGTTGTTTGGCTAGCTCGTGCGTCTGCTCGATTGATTGTTTACGTTGGTGAGATGTTCTGTTAGTTTGGATCAGCTGATTGCTTATTGTTTAATGCTCAATGGATTGCTTATTGTTCTTATTGTTTATTGATCAAGTGCATGCTATTCTACTATTTGCTTTTAAATCGAATGTGTTGTTCCTCTTGCGCACCCAGATTAGAATTTACTACGTGCCATTCACTGAAAGTGTGCATGAGCATTACTGAACTATATCATATTTTATCACATTTATCTAGTCTAAATTAGGGCAATTGTTATCCTAGAGTGCAGGTCTGGCTGAAGCAGGAACCATCCCACTACCTCAGCTATAAGCAGTCACCATGGAGGGTATGCCATTATCAGTGCTATGCTTTAATTAGCTGTTTCAATGTCCATGCAAATTAAAGCCCAGCATAAACAGAACTTGTATGCAATGTTCCACCAGGCTGTCAAATGTCCTGCTCGTTTTATGGGTGCAAGAGGACCTACAATAGTCCAGAAGCACTGAAAAATCATCTTCAGGACCATCAAAAGAACACTGCCCAGTCTCTTCCAGGTATAACTAACCCCATACTTGCAGGGCCTGCAACTGTGCCCCTTGCCATTCTAAATCCTGCTTCAACCCAAAATCTTCCTTGCCAACCAGAATCTCCCTACAGCTCCTTTCCACCCACTCTGTCTCCTGTTAACCCAGCCTTTCAGGCAGATCTGGGCCTACAGCAGCAGCAGAGGTCTCCTAGGTCTGGTCCTCCCAGTCTGCCCGCTTCACCGCCGCTGCCATCATCACCGGGATCAAACGCAGTCTGGAGGAAGAACCAAGGTGAATGAATCTCACAAATCTTTCTTCTGTGAGTGAGGAAAGCCGACTTAAAGAAAGTGTCATTGCTCACAATGGGTTTCATTCACTAACTGTGCGTACGCATGAATTTGTGCGTGAGATCTGATCATGATTCATCAATAATTTTCATATTAAAACTTCTAAATGTAATTTTAAATTCTAAATGTATTGAAAAAATGTCTAAAAAGAAAAAACAAAAACACGTTAGCATGACATTCTATAAATAGATACACAACTGGTCAAGAGTTTGGAATAATAAGAAAAATGGAGTTTGGATTTTTTAAAAATGTTTTTGAAAGAAGTCTCTTTTGCCCACCAAGACTGCTTTTATTTGATCAAAAATACAGTACAAACAGTAATAGTTGTCATAAATATCATTAATGTTTTCTATTTGGATATATTTTAAAATGTAATTTATTCTTGTGATGGTAAAGCTGAATTTTCAGCATCATTACTCCAGTCTTCAGAGTCACATAATCCTTCAGAAATCATTCTAATATGCTGATTTGGTGCTCAAAAAACATTTATTGTCAATGTTGAAAACCGTTTTTGTGGGAAACAAATATTTTTTTACATGATTCTTTGATGAATAGAAAGTTTAATAGAACAGCATTTATTTAGCATTTTAATCTTTTGTAACCTCATGAATGTCTTTACTGTCACTTTTGAAAAATGTCATATGTTAATGTTTTTTAAATAATTCATATTAAAAACAATCAAAAATAAATTATGCAAAAACTACTTACCCCAAGCTTTTGAACAGTAGTGTATCATGATTTCTACAAAAATATGAAGCAGCAAAAACTGTTTTCAACATTGATAATAATAATAAATGTTTCTTGAGCACCAAATCAGCATATTAGAATGATTTCTGAAGGATCATGTGACACTGAAGACTGGAGTAATGGCTGCTGAAAATTCAGCTTTGCCACCACAGGAATAAATGTTGTTTTAAAATATATATTAAAATGGAAAAAAGTTATTTTAAATTGTAATTATATTTTAAAATATGACTGTTTTTACTGTATTTTATTTTTTTTTTTAAATGCAGCCTTGGTGAGCATAACAGATTTTTTCAAAAACATTATCAAATTGTAATTATTCCAAACTTTATTTTTCCCAGATAACTAACCTTGGGCATGCATTTCACTCATTTAGAATAATCCAAATTCATTCAACAAGGTAATGAACACAAGTATTCAAGTACTTGTGTTCACAAGTACAATTCATTTGCGTATGCACTCGTTGTGAACTAGGCAGACATTTTTGATGAGAAGTTCTCTTTTGCACATAAATATGAATAATCCACAGAATTATTATTGAATGAGACCCAGTGTTCCTTAAATCATCCTACATTTTAGACCCTGTTCACCTGTGTATTTTCCAGTTTGCTCAACTGATCTCACCTGCTTATCAACAGGTGTGAGTCCTTATGAAAGGGAATTTGTAAGTCACTTGGGGGGGGAAATGCCTAAGCCATGGCCGCTTTGAGTGAACCGTGTTTTGTCATGTTGTACTGTCCTGCCAGACCCGCCTGGGCCCCTTTTGCACAGATGGAACTCTCCGAGCAGTCAGAGTTTAAATAGAGGTGAAGTACAGGTGAGGCACAGAGAATCCACACACACATTGCTTGAGGGAACAATCAGATCTTCCTTCAAATGATGCTTTAGATGCTAATCCTCCTCCCCTTCCCCTGCTCTAACTGGGCTCAGTGTTTCCCTGGTTGTGCCATCTAGCTGTACAACTCGGTCCACTCTCATCTGATCCTAAACGCATATGTCTGGGTGCTTCACTAACATGTAATAAAACATCAGAGAGTGTGCTTTCAGGGCCAGTGCTCCTTTACTTCACTTTTTCCCTTTCCCATTAGCATTTTGCAAAAATCAGGGGATCATTTCTGGCAAGTGATGGTGCTGTATCATCATAATTGACCATGTGTGGAGAAGTTGACAGCTCTTGCTAATTCCAACACCTTTGTGCCCATGTTCATCTGTCTAAACTGGGTTCATTGATGCTTTTCATTGTGTAAATAATATATTGCTCTTGTATATATGAGCCGATGTCAGTGATCACTGGGGTTCTTTTTCCAGCTCAGTCTAATACCTTTACTGGTGAAGGTTTTTCTGTCTGTCTACAACAGGTGTGCCCAAACTCGGTCCTGGAGGGCCGGTGTCCTGAAGAGTTTAGCTCCAACCTGAATTAAACACACCTGAACCAGCTAATCAAGCTCTTATAGGCATACTAGAAACTTGAAGGCAGGTGTGTTGAGGCAAGTTGGAGCTAAACTCTGCAGGACACCGGCCCGCCAGGACCGAGTTTGGGCACCCCTGGTCTACAGACATTCTCAATGAATATAATAGTCTTTGAGTTAGTTTCGATTTTAATGATTCGCCCATTAATTAAATCTGTCAGGTCAGTCCTTCAACTGCCGCATCCTGTGGGAGCACACAAGAGGTCGGTACAGTTGCCTACAATGTGGCCACTGCACCCCAGACCGGGGAGAGATGACCGCTCACATTGAGGGCCAGCACAAGAACCCAGGGGGCAAAGTGAACAGTGATCATGGTATGACTTCTGTACTTCATCGTTTTATTCTAAACATTTTAATGAATGAAGTGCACTTTTTATTTGATCTCATTGCCCAAAAATGACAATTCTCTCATTTACTCACCCTCAAGTTGCTCCAAACCTGTATGAATTTCTTTCTTCTGCCGAACACAAAAGATATTTTGAAGAACGTGGGCAACCAAAGAGTTGACGGTAGCCACTGACTACCATAGTATTTTTTCCATACTAATAGTCAGTGGCTACCGTCAACTGTTTGGTTGAATTTTCATTTTCGGGTGAACTATGAGTCTGCAGATTTTGGTTAGTCAGAGTTCGCAGTTTTCATAGTTCAATTAGGACATTTAAGTAATTTTTATAAACGTGCCTTAGAAAAAAACATTACTGGTGTGCATTTTGAGACTAAATAAAGGCACTGATATATTGTAAGATCAGTCAGAGCAGGTTTCTTTCAGTTGAAACAGCTCAGATTTAGAGTTTAGTCTGGGATTAGGCTTAAGCCTTGTCTGTAAAACTGGGGGATAGTGTATGATGGGCAAAGACTGCTTTTAGTTTCAGACTATGAATCTATCCAGTCAATGGATATTAAGTATTTTCAGCCAATTTTAGAACATGTGGTTTTCATTTGTCATTTGTCTAGGGTTAGGGGCAAATGTTTCTGCATGAGTTTTTTCTTATTGGAAGGATTTGAGTCTGATAATATATAATATGATCCTCAGTTGTTTAGTGTATAATGTCCAAAGTCAGCAAATGCTTTAAAATATGTTCCAATTTTAAGTCATGTAGTGTATGGTTTAAAAGTTGTGTAATGTATGGTGCCCAGTTTATCTCTGTAACCATTTACAAAGTCAGCAAGTATATGATACATAGTTTTTTTAAGATTTAGATTTTTTTAAACTCTTTAGATTTTAAAAGTCTTGCCGTGTAGTGTATTCCAACCTTTAGCCTTTTGAAAATAATTACAGAATATAGGGATGTCATCTCACCAGACTGAACCTTCTGTGTATTTTACAGATACAGAGATTGGCACCGCATCTTTACTGGCTAAGACTTCACTGCAGTCTGAGAACTCAACTTATACACAGCTCTAACATGAAATGAGATGCTAAACCTGCTGATTGACAAAGAACTGTTGTAGTAGCATTTTATACAGAGGGAGAAACTCAATGTTTTCATTTCACAGACAGTGTGGACTTCAAGCATCTGTGGTCTGGATCTGTCCATATCACTATTCAAACGCATGAAGTGCTGCATGCCTTGTCTTCAGTAAGCATTTATGAGTCATCTAGACTAAAAAAATGTCTTGTTAGGTTTCAAGTAATATGGAATGGCATATAAATAAACTCAGTAATATTATGTCACCTACGTTTTTATTTGACCTTTTTGCAGTATCTCCATTAGAGAACAGTATTCAAGAGTGAACAATTTAGTTTTTTTGATCAGTTGTTTTTCTGTAGTGTTTACTACTTGCAAATAAAAACCTCTCGGATAAACTAAATTGTGAAGTGAGTTAATCTAATTTTACTTTGAAATCTTACATGAATATCTGTGGAGGCATGTGTTTCTTAAATGATTTAATAGTCTATACCAGTGGTTCCCAAACCTGTCCTGGAGGCCCCCCTGCCCTGCTTATTTTGTATGTCTCCCTAATCAGACACACCCAAATTAGGTCTTGTAAGTCTCTACTAACGAGCTGATGAGTGGAATCAGGTGTGTTAGATTAGGGAGACATACAAAAGGTGCAGGGCAGGGGGGCCTCCAGGACAGGTTTGGGAACCACTGGTCTATACAATGGTATATATAGTAATCAAATAGAAATAAATACATTGAGAACTGCACGAAAGTGACTGAAAAACTTCCGTAAAATATACAGTGAAGGGTGGAGTGGCTTTAATTATTTGCATAGTGTATTAGCAAATAAATAAAGTAGATGAAAGATGTGGAAGAAAGACACGGGTAGATGAGAGCCATTTTGCTTTTATTTTAAAATCTCTGTGTCGCGGCCACTTGTTCAAACTGTTCAGTTTCTCCCTTCACACTCCCATCAGAGTGTGTTGCGAGGATGCACATTCAATCTACTTCAACGCTTTTGTAAATAGATGAAACAACCGGAACATAGGCAACAATGGAGAACATGGTAATAAGACTTTACTGACTCTGCCAGACAGCCAGTAGTAAGGAATATGCATGTTTTTTTAATCAATAAAGCATATCAATTGAAAGACGCGAGGCCAACGTTTCTGTGAAGGTGGTCAGGATGCTAACTTAGCCCGCTAGTCTTTTTTTTTACGAGGCTAAAAGCAGGAAACCCGCGGAATTACATCAGTGTTTTATGAACATTTTTGTTGTGACGAAGATATGCTTACAGAAACCAATATCCTTTTATAAACCTCAGCGTTTGGCTTATAGGACAGACCGACTCTTGAGTTCCAGCACTCACTAGCTGCCCAGCTAGCCCGGACCTGTCTCAAAACCTAGTGAACTCCCTACATAGACAGCATTTTGGGCGCCTTGGGAGCGCGCGAGCGTTCGAACGCTTCCAAGATTAAACATGCTGTCTAGGTAGGGTGCTCACTAGGATGAGACACCAGCAGGAGGAAATTCTTCAATTTCAGGGTTGGACGGATGAGTAATGTTGCCTTGTATATTAAAAGCAAAGCTTAGACTCTAAATATTGCGTGTCAGAATATTCAATCTGCTGTGTGCATCTGTAAATGATTAAAGAAAAGTCTAGCTCTTATTTGACATGCAAGTGTAAAATGAAATTCTGCAATGGCTTTGAAGTTTAAGTAACTACATGGATATAAATAATCACAATTAATTAATTAAACAATGAATTTTAATAAATAAATACCTCAGAGGTCTGGTCAGTACAGAATGAGGACTGATTCAGTAACATAATTGAAATATAGTATATATGTTACGTATATTAATATACTATGGGATGTTGATTTACCTACAGTGTTCAAACTTTAAAAACTACTACACTTTTTTACATTTTATATCTATCTAGATAGCCGTCCATCTGTCTATCTATCTCTCTCTCTGTCTGTCTGATAGACTACATAGCTTTAAAACTTTGAAATGTCAAGGTTTTAAAACTACTGGCCAGGCTTTCTCAAGCCAGCATAAAGTATGAATTGACCAGCTTTTTTATCTAGTTATTTTTGACATGCACGTCTTGTGTTGTTTAGTATTATGCAGTCACTGTAAAAATGCTTTAAGTACAGCTAGGATACAAACTCAGCCAACATTGGCGAGGAATTTATTAACCACTGAGCTAACGCACACAAGCCTTTCAGTCATTTTGTCTCCATCCATACCAAGAAAAGTTGTAAACAGTAAAGCATCACACACATGTAGAATGTCAGAGGACTGTGAATTTCCATCTCTAGCTGTCAGAGAGCAAAAGCTGGTTGATTTCTCACAGATGTAAGCTGTTGATATAACACTGGTGTCGAGAAGTTGGTCAAGAGCTTCTTTGTCTCACTCAGAGTTATACGTGTCACTCACTGATGAAGTATTGCAATCTTTTCTTCTACCCCCCCCCTCAGTTCAACAGTACTACAGTTGTAGGACTCATATTCAGAATAGAGAAGACTGACAGATGAGTTATTTTTGACATGCACGTCTTGTGTTGTTTAGTATTATGCAGTCACTGTAAAAATGCTTTAAGTACAGCTAGGATACAAACTCAGCCAACATTGGCGAGGAATTTATTAACCACTGAGCTAACGCACACAAGCCTTTCAGTCATTTTGTCTCCATCCATACCAAGAAGTTGTAAACAGTAAAGCATCACACACATGTAGAATGTCAGAGGACTGTGAATTTCCATCTCTAGCTGTCAGAGAGCAAAAGCTGGTTGATTTCTCACAGATGTAAGCTGTCGATATAACACTGGTGTCGAGAAGTTGGTCAAGAGCTTCTTTGTCTCACTCAGAGTTATACGTGTCACTCACTGATGAAGTATTGCAATCTTTTCTTCTACCCCCCCCCCTCAGTTCAACAGTACTACAGTTGTAGGACTCATATTCAGAATAGAGAAGACTGACAGATGACTTCTGCTTTCCTCTTGTTTCAGTGCACTGTGCAGGTGAAACTGGAGCTGGGACACAGAGCCCAGTTAAGGAAGAAAGTCACTACCGAGGGCTTCACACATGACTGGATGGTGTTTGTTCGGGGCCCAGAGGCATCTGACATCCAGCACTTTGTGGAGAGAGTTGTCTTCCACCTTCACGACAGCTTCCCAAAACCCAAGAGAGGCAGGTTTTAATTTGAGTCAACTTCGTAACACTGTGACTTCATAGAGTACTCACAGCCATGTAGGTTTAAGTCCCTTTACATCAGAATTAAAGAAACCATTTGTGTGTATGCCCATTTTCTTCTGTTGAGTTATCATGTCTAATCTGCCTGTTTAGCTCATGCTGTTGCCCAAGCTAATATACTTTGTAGTTCCACCAAACGACTATATATCTGTCTCTATTATAGATCAGTGATTCAGATCTAAATGTAAGATTTATGTTTATGAATTGCATATAACATTTCTATCTATTTGGATTACAGAGTTTTTTAAGTCATGCAATGAAGCAAATGCACACCTTTGTTAGAGAAAGAACTTAAAGAAGACATATAAATGCACTCTTATTTAACCTTCTTTTTATTATCAACATTTCGGCAACAAGCCTTTATCAAGGTACAGAGTTTTATCATAAGCTTAATGTAATGCATATTTGTCAGACATACAATGAAACGGGTAGGATTTCTCCTCTTGTTATTAACCATTTGCATCTATTTTATTTGATTTAAATAATAATATTTTCAAAATGCATTTACTCAAATTGCTTAGAATTAGCATAAATCTGTTCTTTGTGAAAACAATTAAATGTATTCAGTTAAAAGTATTAACGTGGTTAAATATGGCTAGCTGTGGAACAAGCAATATTGAGCTAAAATGTATGAGACTGAAGCAAATTGGATTTATTGATGATAAATATATAAACCTAGTTATTGTGTTTTTAAAACGCATTCAGTTTATTAGTACCCATTTCATTTTTGTAAGAGAGACAAATATGTCTCACAAATTCTGTCATTATTCATAATTTATACCTCATGTCAGTCTAAACCCGGACTTACTATTTAATAATTAAGATATTATTAATGCAACCTGAGTGGTTTCTGTCCCTCTATTGAAAGTCCAAAACTTAAAAGATCAAAAAAGGTTATAAAGGCATCTTAAAATGAATCCAAATTAATTGAGTAATTTAATTCAAATCTTGTAAAGAGATATGATTATTTTATATGATGAACAGAATTAATTTAGGCTTTTATTTGCATATAAACAATGGTGAACTATCCCTTCAATTCCTTGTAGGTATGTTTCACGAATGAACGTTCAGCTATTAAACCAATTTTTTTTGTGTCATGTCTGTGATTCGATGTTTATTTGCCACAAAGTAAAAAAGCTGGACGAACATCCTCTAAGTGTTGTGATTTCATTCATTTTTGCCAGGTGTTGTATTTGAAGGTGTGTCATTTTTTGATGTTACTTTCTCCTATCCCAGTTAAATGTGCAAAGACAATTATAAGTTAGCCGTTTGTAGGTTGAGTTCCCAAAATGTGTAAACACTGTGTCTCGGGTGCTTTCAGAATATCTCCCTATTTGTTTGAGTGGTCTGATATGTCGACCTCTGGCTAAACCAATGATGTGGTTTGGGGGCGGGGCTACCAGATTATAGGAGTGCTGTGGAAACCTGTTCGGAAAAAAAATGGTTATTTTTGCAATTCCATTGTGTCATTAGTGGCAAAGAAATAGTACACTTCACCATATTGTAGTATGTACATGTAAATAGTACATTCTAGTGTCATATTTCTTTTTCAGGTGCAGATATTAATATTTGTGTAGATGTTAACTATACATCTTCACTTTGTTTTCTTTTTTTATTTCACAGTTTGTAAAGAACCCCCATATAAAGTGGAAGAGTCAGGCTATGCTGGTTTTCTCATGCCTATAGAGGTCTATTTCAAAAACAAGGTGAGCACATCCCATATCGACAGCAGTATCTGCATTTCTTTAACTTTGACATGAATAACTGTCATTTCAAGCAAAATGTAAGAAAAGTTAAGCACAGTGTTGTACTCAGTCTTTATAGATGTGTGATGGTGTGTTATGTTTAAGCGGTTTGTTGCCAGCATTGGAAAAGTGTTGTGACGAAGAGTTTTGCAATTCAGTAAAGGTAAAGGTCACACAACTAGGTGAACTAGTTGGGAACTGGGAGCTAACAGATTTTATAGACACGTTAACAGAAAATTGGCATGCAGCTATTGAACTACAGAGAACTTGGAGGGGGTGTAAATGGTAAGAATATGTACATTTGTATGTCACTTTAAGACTTCTGTTTCGTATCATTATCATTTTGTATATTTACTTTTCCAGAA